TGGATGCCAACAATGTGCAAAAATCCAATTTGGATGAGACAACTAGGATGTGTTTAACTTTGAGTTTTGGCTTAGGTGGAGCTCTTGATTTTGAGTTTTCCAGCCACCAAGGTGGCTGACCTGCTAGGGAGGGGTCACCATCCAATCCAGGGAGGTCAGAGATTGATCTTAGTGAAGTCAATTAGAGTTGGTCATGTGTAAATGTATGAGATTTAAATAGTATGGGAAAAGGGCTATTTTGGATTAATTTGGGTTAAATCATGGTTTGGGGCTGGGTTCACCCCTCAAGACTGGTTTTAGTCCTGAGGAGAATTAGGTGGCTCAGCTTAATCAACATGGTGAGGTCTCTATCAAAAGAGATTTGGCTAAACATGGGTTAGAGTGATTCAGCCTCTTTCTAATAATAGCCTGATGATGTGGCATGGCTCTCATGGCTTGCCTATGGCTTGGAAGTGGCTCAATGGCTTGTCCTTAGCTTGGCTAATTTTCATGAGAAGGGATTTTTGAATTTGCAAAATATTTTGGTGGAGTTTGGCATGATGCTTGATTTGGAATGATTTGATTCTAGATTTAGGACTTTAGGAATGATTTTAATCAAATGGATGATGGAAAAAAATAATTATCATATGGGCTTTGGACTTGGGCTTTTGAATTTAAGTGTAATAAGTTTGGGCTTTTAAAATTGAAATTGAATTTAGGCTAAAATTTGGGCTAATTGAATGTTGAGATTGGTGTAGGAATATGTCATGAGGGATTTGACACATTTTCAAGTGATTTTGATTTGAATTGGTGGGTCAATTTGGTGGATTTAGGCATATGGTAAAAATTGGGCCTTTTTGGGTTTGAATGAAATTAGGCTTGCAATTGGATCAAATTGGGCTTGAATTTTGTTTAGAATAGAATTGGGGATGCTGAGTTTTGGTTTAGAATTGAAATTGGGCAAGATTGGGGTCAATTGGCCCAAAATTGTGGTTAATTTGGGGACATTTGGGCCTTTAAGGGTAAATTGGGGCTTTTGGTCAAATTGAGTAAAATTGGTAAAATATGGTCAAATTGATGATAAAAAATTTAAATTGAGAATATTTGGGATTATTTTGGAATTTTTGGAATTTTTAGGTAATGAAGGGCATTGTGGTAATTTTGGCAATTTGGGGGGGGGGTCTTTTGGAAATTTGGTAAATTTTGGTAAATTTAAGTAGTGGTGAGGAGTTTGAGATGATTTTTGGACAAATTTGGGTATTTTGGGATTTTGGGTAAAAATTAGGGTTGTAGGGGGTATTTTGGTAATTTGATGATTTTGGGCCAAAATGGGCCAACAAGTCGTGAAGCCATACCAAACCAATAGGAGCCATGTGAGGACTTGTTTGAATGCTCAATATGTTGGTTCTAACCCTCTTAGCCAAAGACTAGAGATATATGGTCATCCATATGAGCTCTCCAAAAGGAGTCAGGACACCAGCCTAAGGGAAAGGGTTAAGGGTAAGTGAAAAAGTGTAGTGTATGCAAGTTAGCCCCACCAAAACCATACCACCCAGGGCTAGTCCTAAGGTCTGACCATCTTATGGGGGACTCCTCTTGAGCTCCTCCATACTGACCCCACCTACTAAGTGCTAGAGGTTAGGGCCAATATGTGGAACTTCAAGTTCAGCAAAGAAGGGTTTAGAATTTCTACAGTCCTCTAGGAATAGTCAACAGGAAAGTCCTATGGCTATACCCTAAGCTACTGAAGAGGAAAAACTAGGCCTCAATAAAAAATGAGGTCAACAGACGGTGTGTTAAATGATGTTATTAGACTTAGACTTTTTCCCTTTTCATTGAGGGAGACTTAACCCAAAAATTCCTACCTAAGTATTTTTAATCTTCAAAAACTACTAAAACCTAGGAATGACAGACTTAGCCCAAAAATTCCTAAGTATTTCCCATCTTCAAAAACTACTAAAACCTAGGAATGCCATTAATTTTTTTTGTCAGGATGAAGGTGAGTCAATATACAGAGCATCAGAAAGATTTAAGGAACTTCCTAGGAAGTGTCTGTATCATGTTCTTCCCAATTGGTTAATCTTTCTAACTTTTTACATGATCCCTTAGATCTATTATTAATGTTTTTGCTTGTAGTTCACTTATGTCAAAGCCGTTTGATGAGACTTACTCTTTGATTGAAGAAATGGCTACAAACAATTTCCAAGGGCCTTCTAAAAGGGTAAACCCTATAAAGATAGCTAGTGTGCATGACAATAATGTGCTTTCAGCTCTTACTTCTCAGGTAGCAGCTATTTCTAGAAAGCTAGATCAATTTTGAGTGAACCAACCTCAAGTACCTCCAGTAATTGAGGAAAATTCATATGGACAAATGATTGATTCTAACATTCAATCATTTAAGAACTTAAATGCAATTAACAACATACGTAACAACCCTTATTCCAACTTCTATAACTAGGTTGGAAGAACCATCCTAAACTAAACATGAATAACAATGCTGGTGGGAGAAACCAACGATGGGGTAATAACCAAGCAAATACTTTAGGAAATTTGAATAACCATAGAAGTACTAATTATATACCTTCTTATCCATGAGGCTTTAACAATAATCCACAATTTAAGGATAATAAGTTGTCTTTGAAGAATGTTGTTTTGCAAATGGGGAATCAATTGCAAAGTCAAGGTGCCACAATAAGGAATATAGATAATCAATTAGGACAGATTGCTAACTCACTTAGCAGTAGGCTTTAAGGAACTCTTCTTAGTAATACTGAGATAAAACTTAAGGAGAAGAATAATGAGCATGTTAAAGCTTTCTAATTAAGAAGTGGAAGAGAGTTGGAGGGTGTAGTTTAGAAAGATTTTGAGGTTGAAAAAGAGACTGCGGAAACTAAAAAAACCTGAAGAAAATATTTCCAAGGATTTAGAAAAACTAGTCTCTCCAACTAAGATTAACTTAAAAAAACCACCACCTTCATTTCCTCAAAGACTTTAACAACAGTAGTTAGATCAATAATTTTTAAAAATTATAGAAGTATTTAAGAAATTAACTATTAATATTTCTTTTGTTGAAGCTCTAAAGTATTTAAGAAATTAATTATTAATATTTCTTTTGTTGAAGCTCTAGAGCAAATGCCCAGGTATGTAAAGTTCATGAATGATATTTTTAACAAGAAGAGGAAGTTTTGAGACTGTGAGACAGTTGCACCCATTGTGAAGTGCAACACTATAATTCAAAAGAAGCTTCCTCAGAAACTTAAGAATCCTAGAAGCTTTATTATTCCCTGTGAAATAGGAGAAAGATTTTTTAGAAAAGTTTTATGCGATCTTGGAGCAAGTATAAACCTTACGTCATTATATATTTTTAGAAAGTTAGGGTAAGGAGAAGTGTCTCATACTAATGCAACCCTTCAGTTAGTTGATCAATCGATCACTTATCTAAAAGGAGTTATAGGAGATGTTTTAGTTAAAGTGGATAAATTCATCATCCCTGTTGATTTCATCGTGTTAGATATGGAGGAAGATAAAGAAACTTCAATCATTTTAGGTAAACCTTTTCTAGATACTGGACGAGTCATGATAGATGTGCAAAAAGGTGAATTAACAATGAGAGTAAATGTTTGGAATTTACATTTAATGTTTTAAAATCTATGAAATATCTTTTTGAAGGAAATGAAGCTGTGTGTTATCAGATATACTTAATTGATTATTTATATAGAAGTCATTTATGAGAAAGTTATGAGCTTAAATCAGTAGAGCCAGAATTAGATAATGAGAAAGACACAGACTCATAGGATGAGATGGATCTATTGATCACTGAAAATTCAAAGTTTGTTCGGGAGAGGTTTGAGAATCTAGATATAATAGAGCGTTGTAAGCCACTTATTCCTTCTGTAGAGGAACCCCCTAAACTTGAGATGAAAGTGCTTCCTACACACTTAAAATATGCTTATTTAGGAAAGTTATCTACATTACTTGTTATCATATCTTGAGATTTGACTCATTTGCAAGATGAGAAATTAATGAAAATTTTGACAAATTATATGAAAGCTTTTGGATTGACCTTTACATATATTAAAGGAATTAGTCCTTCTATTTGTATGCATAAAATCTTGATGGAAGATAATCATAAACCCCAGGCAGATCCTCAAAGGAGATTAAATGCAATTATGAAAGAAGTAGTTAAGAAGGAAATGTTGAAGTGGTTAGATGCATGCATTATCTATTCTAATCAGATAGTGATTGGGTTAGCCATATTCATTGTGTTCCTAAAAAGGCAGGAGTGATAGTATCCATAAATGAACAAACTGAACTAATTCCTACAAGACATGTCTTTATCCTAAAAATTTTTAAAGATATACAATGCTAGTAAAACCCTTAATGAAGCTCAAATTAATTATACTACTACTAAGAAGAAATTATTGGCTATAGTATATGCTTTTGATAAATTTAGATGTTATTTAATTGGAACCAAATGTATAGTTCATACCAATCATTATGCTATCAGATATCTTATGTCAAAGAAGGATGTTAAACCAAGCTTGATTAGATGGGTCCTTTTAATACAATAGTTTAATATTGAAATTGTGGATAGAAAATAATCTCACAATCAAATTGCTGACCATTTATCTAGACTAGATTAATAAAATTTATACATTATGATGGTGAAATTAATTAAAATTTTTCTGATGAGCAACTTTATGCTATTATTGAGTGGTGTATTCTGTGGTTTATTGACATAGTGAATTTTATTATTAATGATATTGTGCCCTATGGATTAACATCCCACCAACAATAAAAATTAATTTATGATAGTAAATCTTACATTTGGGATAACCCATATTTGTATAAAAGGTGTAAGGATCAAGTAATAAGGAGAAGTGTACCTTAAGAAGAAACCTAATAAATTATTAAGAATGTCATGATTCTGAGTTTGGGGGACATTTTGGAGTTAAAAAAATTGTTTTTAAGATTTTACAATCTAAATTTTATTGGCCTACTAAAAGTATTATATCAAGACTTTACTTTAGGAAAGGAGAAGTGAAATTCAAAATCTTTAAAGGCCTATCCAGATATAGTAATCCCTGCCTGAAAAAGAAAAAGAAAAAGGAAAAGAAAAAGAAAAAGAAAAAGAAAAGAAAAGAAAAAGAAAAGAAATGTAAGGGAGGAGAAGCTTGAGGATTAGTATCTAATCAAAAATTGGTTCTACATTTAATCTTTTTAAAGTATAAGACTTGATAAAATCTTAAGCTAATAAATATAATATAGTAAGTAAAATTATTTTTAATAAAAAATTTTAAGTAGAGAAAAAAAAAGAACTAAAATCTAAATTTAGAGAACTTACAATATTTCTGAATTAGATAGGAACTCATATTTTCATAGTTCTTAACATTAAAAATTTTCAAATTTTAAGTTGGCCTCATTTACTAATTTTTTTTTTCTAAATTGGACTACCATATTTCTAAATCTAAATTTTAGTAACTCCTAA